ACTGCCAGTGCATGTGGTGGTGGTACTGTGTAGTTTTTGCCTGCGTTAATTGGTTACAGGTGGCAGCTCTCTATTGCAGCCTGTAGGCTTGCGTAGGTAAATGGATGAGTGCTTACCTATTCTGTCTTGCAAATAGTTGTTGTTACTACGTACGATGGGAGCTTCCATCTTTAATCTGAAGACACTTAAACGTACGCGCCATCTCGTGGCGACTTTCATATCGATCCCAACGAACATTCCTTTGAGAAGGTTCCTGATACTATCCCTGTGCATTCCACTGTTTCGGCGTGTATGTGAACACATTTGGGACTAACAGGGTTTACTAGAATCCCACCACTCCACCACAGAGTCACCGCAGTAGACGTTAGATGAGCGCTGTCGCTCCACGGCACTTGTTAATTATAGTAGAAGAATTAAGAAATTACTTAGTTAAATTAGTTAGAATATAATCAATATTCAAGTTTTCTATTGCCCTGATGTTGGCTCATTAACAATCATGTCGGTCCGAAACGCCTCGCCTTATAGTTAGAAACTTTGGGTTAAATTTCCATAAAAGTGCCCAATTAAAAAAAAATTCCATTTCAATCTAATCGATACTCAATCAAATTTTCTATTGAACACATGCTGGGCTATTAACAACACATACTGCCCCTATTAAAGCAACCCAATATGTTATATTATTGTAATTAACCTGAGTTAATTTTCCGTACGCGTCTCGCTCAATTTTAAATCGATTAATGACGATCGATTCTCGAGTTTTCTATTGTGCGTATGCCTGAGGCCGTTGTCAGAAACAAAATTGGTCTTAACATTAGTCTTAACATTAACTTTTTCTCTTAGACCGTTGACAGAAACGCTGCGAAGTTACGAGAATGAAAAATCGTAGCAGATTTCCTCATAACAATACGAAACAAAGTGATGTCGACGGTCTAGGAGAAATTGTTAATGTAAAGACTAATGTTAAGACTAATTTTGTTTCTGACAACGGGCCCCTGCCTTCTATTCTAACCGTACACTTTATTCGTCGTAACTACGGCAGGCGTGTGAAGAGATGTCGGCGTCGTTGCAGGCGGAGTCACTCGTCGTGAGCATAAGGGACCTCTTCCAGACCGTCTTCGACATGAAGAAGAAGGAGGTGGAGATGGCGAAGCAGCGGAAGAGCGCGAAGGAGGCGCCACCTGGCGGCTCAGCAGACGCCGGCGACGACGACGCGACTCAGGCTGACGCGACGAAGGTAAACCCGCCATGATGCTCGCGCGGCGAACTCTACTCCAGCGAAATTTATTATCGATCTGTCTGACTGATATTTTTCTTCTCGGATGGGAAAGAGTTCCTCGGGGGTGGAGAGTGGGGGTAAGTTAGGATTAGGGGTTAGCGACGGCGTGCGTGCAAGATTGCTAGACGATGTCTGTCGTCATGGCGACGTCTGTCGTCGTGGCAACCACAAGGCGCAACAAGTCTCATCCAAAAGACGCATGCACTTACTTACCACACGGACCGGCTGCGGCCGCAGCGCATGCATCACACAGGAGGGGTGTGGTCGCTCGCGTGCGCTCAGCCAGCGGAGAGTGTGGCGCCCTCTATGGACGGATGCGTCGTCGGTTTTCTTGGCCGTCACATAGCATTGTCGCTCGTGTGCGAGTGCGGCCAGCTGCCGGAGTGTGTGGCGCCATCTACAGGCAGAGTGTGTGGCGCCATCTATAGGTAGAGTGTGTGGCGCCCTCTGTGGGCGGATATGATGCCAGTTTGTTTTCCGCCAATCCGTGATCTCCGGGTGCCCCGCACAGCTTGCAGCGTTGTTTGTCTATTGTAGGCGGCCACGGTCGTTGCCGATCCCACAATGGCGGTGCCGGCCTGGGAGACAGCAGTGCCCCCTGATGCTGCTGCTGGCACCCCCAATGACAGTCGAGTCGTGAGTACCGCACTGGCACTTGACCCCTGACCCTTGACCCCCGACCCGAGCCTTTGCTTGCCGCCCCAGATGGTGCGGGGGTGTAGTGAGGGCGCATGCTAGGGTGGCCAGCTTCGAGCCTATCGGCGGAGACGGCGCAGTGGTCGGCGGCAACGTTCCAGCGGCTGCAGCGCTGCGAGCAAGATGGTCGTGATATCCTTCTCATTGCACATGCGTGACTAACCTCATTCACGATTAGTGTGTGTGTGTGTGTGTGTGTGAGAGAGGGGTACGTGCGGGCGTGCATGTGCGTGTGTGAGTGTGTGTGTGTGTGTGTGTGTGTGTGTGTGTGTGTGTGTGTGCGTGCGTGCGTATGTGTGTGTGTGTGGTGGTTGTACGGGCGTGTAAACAGTGGATTTGCAAGCAATGCAGGGCTGTGTGAAATGTCAGCTATGTGACGTGGCTTTCTCTTCACGCGCGTCATCATTGCATTATTTACCACTAGCTACTGCTGGCGAGCAAACTGCAATAAAAAAAACATCAACTTAGAATAGATATTGTTAGGGCGTTTTGATAAATGCCAGGGCGAACGCGTGTAAAGAATAATATGTACGTGTTTAAATTGCTAGTACATACGTGCTTTGTAGAGTAGAATACCGTTGTTTCCCTGCTGTTCCGAATGACGAAAATAGACAAGGATCAAGGACTGGAAGTTTTAGCCGTTTTGACGATTGGTGAAAAAAATGTACAGGGCGGGTGGTGGCCTGGTGGGGGGGGGTCGTACAAGCCGTGCTCTGACCCCATGCACGGCCTCCTTGACGGTGGTGGATGGGGGAGGAGGGTGGAGGGGGTTCGAGCTCAGGTGCAATGCCCCGTAACAGCAAGGCTATGCTTGTTATGAGTAAATAAGAAGGGCGGATATTTCGATCAGTCGTGAACTTCCTCGCTTCTTATCACTGATACATTTCTGTATATCACGCGTACAATACTCATACGGCCGATAGCAGGTGAAAAAAAAGAAGAAATATACCACGCGTCATAGCCAATCTCAAAACCCATCGATATCTTTCTGACAGAGAAAAAAATCGAAATAGTAAAATAAACACCATACGTGGGTTTCCGCCCTATACGTACGGACGCCTGAACATATTGGCTTAGAGTTACGTCGCTATATATACATGACGTTTAAAGAGTGACCTTGCTAATTTTTCAAAATAATGAATTTGCGTCACGGTGTTCCTTAATTCGCTCTGACGCCGGGCACTGACTGACGGCGCCGTGGAACGTGCACGGAGATAGATACTTTGCAAAATTATAGAGCAGAAAACGGCGGTAACAGCAGAAAAGTCACATTCGCACCCTGCCTTCCATTAGTACTGCTTCGTAGCTCTACATGACACACATACATGACGCGGCCAAATACGTTATCGGGTATTGACCGTCAGGTTTCTGTTAAAAAAAGACGGCGCGAACGCCTCCTGGTGGATAACCGCGCGGTGGCGCGTCCGGCGGCCATGTTCGTGCGTGAGTGCGAGCGTGCGTGCGTGCGCGTCCTTGTATAATGCAGCAGAGAGTGGGTGCAGTAAGTAGTCAACTGTTCCCCCGGGGGTCCTTCCGCTCCGTATATAGTGATATATGACAGCGCTATCTAAGCGAAAGGATGCGCGGATTTTTGCTCTCTCGGCTGATAGTGAGATTCGAGCACGCGCATGAATTTTGTACGTCACGTGTTTGCGTGTCGTGCACACAGCGTGTGAGCAACGCCCCCCCCCCACCACTGCTGACGTAAACACACGCCTCTTGTCCCGCGCGCGCGCCTGTGTGTATAAGTCTTACACAGACTGCGTATATATGCGAGAGAGGTGGTCGCGCGGTGCTACTGTGCTCTCTCTATCTCTCACGCGGTCTTCCTCTGTCTTCCTCTATCTCTTTGTGCGTAAATGAGGAGATGGGCGTCGGATTATAATGTGCTGAGCTCGACGGACGACGACGGGGCGCCACTAGCGGCGGCGGCGGCAGCAGCGGCGCCCCCTGTCGTGCGCTTGCGTTTCTTGAGTGGCGAGATGGTGATCGTGGCACATCTGAAGGCAAGTGACGAACCGACGAGCGGTTTCTTTCACACAACGTGTTTTTTTAGATTACACGTGTCAGTGTATTCATAAGAAGTGTGTGTGTGTGTGTGTGTGTGTGTGTGTGTGTGCGTGCGTGCGTGCGTG